TGGCGTTGTACCTCATCCATTCTAGCCATAAATTGGTATCTGAAAACCCTGTTTCTACTGCCATGGTATCTTCAAAGGTGGGGTTGGCTATGGCTACCATGTCATGTAGGGTTTTGATGTGTGGTTTCAATGGGTTAATGACCATATGTGTGGTTCCCACCCAATCAGAGGAATTTAGCATATCTTGCAAGTAAAAGGTCCCTAATGCGTTATGTGAGCCACCTCCCTTCCAGTACATTCCCATCACATACTCCCCTGCATCCCTTGGACTAGGGTGTTCTATGTTTAAGGTGAGTTTAATGGGAGTTGACCCTATGGGTTTACTCAGGGTCATTCTAGAGAGCAAGGGTTTCCCGTCTTTGTCAAGCTTGTCTAATGCAACTTGGGGTCTGTAGCCCCATGGTCTACCTGTGTTCCACCCGGCAGCTTTCCATGAACTACAATGGTGTCCCCAACCTTCGCCAGTCACACAAATGTATGGATCCTTTTTGTTAGGTATGTCCTTATATACAGCTGCATGTTGTGTTTGTGGAAATGTACAAGTAACTATGTCACAATAGTCAAAGGTGTATGTAGCCACATCAGTATTAGAAGAATTGTACCAAAAAGTATAAACATGGTTATCTTTGGTTATGGCCACTTGTTGGGCCCATGCAAAATGTAGCAGCATAAGAAAACACAAGACACATAATAAATTCATTTTTCAACAGGATCAGACTCTTCTGGAGCAGGCACTTTTTTGCAATGTGAAGCGTGTATCCAAGAACTCTTCCCAGCTAGTTTAACTGACGTTGCTGTAATCAGGAGCACTTGGTAAGGACCATCAAATCTCGGTTCCAGGGTGTGTTTTCTGAGAAACTTCTTAACCATAACCCAGTCACCTGGAAGCAGCTTGTGTGTACCTGTGTTCGACTCAGGATCTGGAATAGAAGAAAACACTTGTGCATGTATCTTGGTCAAGGCATGTGAGAGGGCTGTCACATAATCTACCATAGCATCTGACTGGATCTGAAGTTGTTGGGGAAAGTAACAACCTAACCTAGGTGCTGTGCCAAACAAAATTTCATAAGGTGACAGGCTGTATTTTCCCCTAGGAGTGTACCTTACACTAAACAATGCTAATGGGAGACTCTCGGGCCAAGGCATGTTAGTTTCTTGTGACATTTTAAGCATTCTGGCTTTCAGAGTGCCGTTCATGCGCTCTACCTTACCACTACTCTGTGGGTGATATGGAGTGTGGAATGCAAGGGTCACCCCCAGTGCTGACCAGACTTCCCGTGTTAGCGAAGCAGTGAAGGAGGTTCCTTGGTCACTCTCAATTACTTCTGGAACCCCGTAACGGCAAACAATTTCTGTCAAGAGATACTTGGCTGTTGTCCTCGCAGTGAGGTTAGTCACTGGGAAGGCCTCTGGCCATCCTGAAAACATGTCCACTATGACCAGTGCATATTCATGGCGTCCGCTCTTTGGCATCTGAATATGGTCAATCTGAATCCTCTGAAAGGGGTATTGTGGCTTGGCTAGATGATTAGGTGCAGTCTTTATGATCTTTCCAGGGTTGCACTTAGCACATATAGTACAAGATTTGCAATAATTCTGTGTTAAGGTAGTGATGCCTGGTGCTTCAAAATACTTGTCAATCAGTGAATTCATCAGGAGCTTTGATAGGTGGGCTGGCCCATGGGCCCATTGGACCACCGCTGGGTACATACTTCTAGGTAGACAGAACTTGAGATTAATAGTGTAAACTTCATCACGGAGTATTGCTCCTTTGTTCTTCCAACTCTGTTTCTCCTGAGGAGTGGCAGCAACTTGCTGTTCCTTCAGCAGCCTGAGGTCTGTAGGCAATGTTTGCATAGTATAAATTGGTAATGCATCTGTGGCCACTCTTCTGTCCACTTCCCATCCTTGTCGTGCTGCCTCTTTGGCTGCCTGATCAGCCAGGCTATTGCCACGTGCTTCTTCTGTGTCTAATCTTCCATGAGCTTTTACTTTCAATACTGCCACTTCTGCTGGGAGTTCCAATGCGTCCATCAGTTCTGCAATGGCTGCCCCATGCTTTACTGGGGTACCGGCAGCTGTAAGGAATCCTCTGGTCTTCCAGATTAAGCCAAAATCGTGTGCCACTCCCAGGGCATATCTTGAGTCCGTATAAATGTTGACTCGTAGGCCTTCGGACAGTTTGCAGGCCACAGTCAAGGCTATTAACTCGGCCTCTTGGGCAGATTTAGTTGGTTGTAGGGCAGCTGCTTGTAATATTTGACATCCTGTGGTAACTGCATATCCAGTGTGGTATTGTCCTTGTTTGTCAGCAAACCTTGAGCCATCCACAAATAGTGTCTGATCCGGGTTGAGTAATGCAGCTTCATAAACAGTTGGTAGGTGTGTAGTTTCCATTTTCATTTGTTCAAAACAGTCGTGAGGGATATCAATAAGGTCGCAGTCTATGGTGGGTGGGTCCTCACAGGCCTCTATGTGGTACCTGGAGTGTCCTGTTGTGTAGTAGTTAATTGTCTTTTTATTTATTCCTGCAGAAGTCAGTTGTTCTGGAGTCATTTGGTTCCAAGTTTTGGCCTTCGGCCCTAGGGTCTCCCATGTGATGTCGTGGGATCTGGTGAGAGGTATGTGTGGGATAGCTGTTTCCCAATGGTGGTAGAGGTGTACTGCATTGTCTGGAAGATGTACCAGAATGAGCATGGTACCTGTGGAGTCCCAAAACAAGTCAGTCAAGGTAATTTGGATGTCTTTGAGCTGAAATAGTTCTTCCTCATAGTCCACGTCAGGGTTTGGTGTGTCCCTAAACCACAAGACACAGTGGAGTAGGGCCTCTGATTGTTCATCATCAGGGGAAGGTGTAAACACAGGCAATTGTAAATCTGCTCGGACCTCTGGGTTGATGTCCAGGCTGTACCAGTGATGCACTATTCCCCCCTTGGGAAGTGGCAGAAGAGTGGCTGGGTTCAGGGAAAGGCATCTCTGGAGTTTCACATTGTCAGGTAGGAGTAAGGATGTCTGTAGGCGAAGGTGGCGTTGTGAAGAAAGGTGTTTTGGGCGGATTTGCTGTAAGATTGCAGTAATATCGTGAGGGGCCAACACTGTGAGGTGATGGCCAAGAACAAAGTCATTGGTCTTGTCCAGGAGAGCACTGGCGGCGAACACCGCTCGGAGGCAAGAGGGGCTACCCCTTGCAACAGGGTCAAGCATGCAGGAAAAATAGCCAATAGGGCGTTGTCTTGAGCCATGTTTTTGGGTGAGGACTCCGGAAGCATGTCCTGATTTTTCAGAGACAAAAAGGTTGAAGGGAAGTTGGTAGTTCGGTAGGCCCAAGGCAGGTGCAGAAGCAATAGCTCTTTTCAGAGTGCGGAAACAGATGATAGTTTCTTCTGTGAGATGGAAAGGTTCGCTCCTGAGGGCATCATAGAGTGGCTGCATGAGTTTTGATGCTTCGGGTATCCAGGACCTGCAGTACGTGATTAGACCCAGGAAAGCATGGAGAGCTTGGTGGGTAGCAGGTAGTGGAAGAAGCAGAATGGCTTGTACACGTTGGGAGGTGAGATGTTTGGTGCCATGGGAAAGGCAGTGTCCCAAGAAGACCACAGAGGGCCGGCACCATTGTAACTTGGATTTGGAGGCTTTGCAACCAGCAGCAGCAAGAAAACATAGGAGGTCTTCTGAATCACGCTCCGCAGTGAGTAAATCAGGAGCACAGAGAAGGAGATCATCAACATATTGAAGCAGGACGACATCCAAATGAGATTGTTGCCAGGGTTCCAACACCAGTGACATGGCGTGTGCAAATTGTGTGGGGGAATTCTGAGCCCCCTGAGGCATGACAGTCCAGGTGTATTGCTGTCCTTCATGGGTGAAGGCAAAGAGGAAACGACATGAAGGGTCAAGGGGGACACTGAAGAAGGCATTAGCTAGATCCACCACAGTGAATATTGTTGAAGTTGATGGGACTTGGGATAAGAGGGTGTGGGGGTTAGGAACAATGGCAGTGTCTTTGATGGTCACATCATTCACAGCACGGAGATCTTGTACCATACGATATTGGTCAGGTTGACCTTTAACAGTTCTCTTTTTAACAGGAAAAAGTGGAGTATTGCATGGAGACGAACACTTGATGAGGGCACCTTTGGTAAGGAGACTTTCAACTTGTCTGGTAATGGCTTCAGCTTGTGCAGGCTTTAGAGGGTATTGTGGTCTGCGAGGAGGCTGTGCCCCGGGCAGGAGCTGAACCAAGACCGGGGGCACATGCAAACGTCCAATATCATCAAGATCATGTGGGATACGGTCCAGAGCACTGGGGGTTTGTGGGACCCGTGCATCCCCTGAGTTGTCAGTTAGGTTTAACAAAATAGGGAGTGAACAGAGGACAGAGGTATCTTTTTGTGATAAGGGAGTTGTCAACTCAATCTGCCCATCTGCAGTGAAGGTAATGGAGGCCTGGAGGCGAGAGAGAACATCGGCACCTAGGAGGTTAATGGGGCAAGTAGATGAAACCACAAAGCGTGAGAGGATGTGTGAACCTACATGTAGGAGCTTAGTAAGGGGGTTGCTGCGTGGGGTACCATCCACCCCAACACAGGAAACATCAGTGTCAGATAAGAAAGAGGGGTCAGGCAGGTCTTGTTCCCTAAGGACACTACGGGCTGCACCTGTGTCAACCAGGAAAGTGGTGGGGTGGCCCTCCACAGGGAGAACAACAGTAGCTAGAGGGCCCCCCCCATCCCCCGCAGACACTGCCATGGCAGGGGTTGCTGACACAGGCTTGCCGGTTACCTATTGTAATAAATCTAAATGGGCCTGGTCTGGTCCCTGGTACCGGCGGGAAGTAGAAGGGGGGTTAGCAGAATGCATGGGAGGGCGGGATGGGCGGAGGGTAGGACGGGGTTGGCCGTCTTGGAAATCATCATTATCAAACCCTTCTGCAGAGTGTGGAGTATACGTGTGAGCTTCTGATACAGGGGGCCGTGCTTGAGTGTATTCAGGAGGAGGAGGGGGAGGAGGAGGAGGAAGCTGAGGCAAATGTGGATGGGGAAGGGCGGGGAGGTAACCAGGGGAAGGGTAGTTATGGCCGGTGACATGGGGACCTTGGTACCGGGGACTAGGCTGGCGGAACACCCTAGGCTGTGGGCAATCTCTTCTGAAGTGGCCTGGCTGATTGCAATTAAAACAGGTCCGGATTGTCATAATGGTCCGGTCCCGGGGGAAAGGGATTGGCGCAGGCAGTGCGTGGGGTGATTGAGTGTACTGTTGGGGGAATACCTGGGGGACCTGATTAGAACTAGCGATAGGTGTGGGGGCGGTGTACATCAGTGGGCTAGCCCTGCGCTGTGTGGGTTGTAAAACAGATTCTAGGCCCTTGGCTACTAACAAAAGAGTGTCTAGTGGAATATATTGAGCTAAAATTAACCCCTTGCGAATGTGTTCTCTCAGTCCTGCCACGAAAGCTGCAGAGAGCATCTGGGTGTGTGCCTTGTTGTAAGTACTGAACCCTAAGTCCGAGAATGTCTGAGTCAACCTAGAATGGTACTTTTCAACGGTCTCAAGTTTGTCTTGGATTATATCATTAATGCAAGTAGCCTGGTCAGCTAGTTTATCCTGCACCCAGGCACGAAGTTGTTCACAGAAAATTTCACCAGAATGGAAATCAGTATCAGAAGTAAGTGGAGCATCACTAAAGCTCCGTTCCATGATTGGCCAGTATGCATCTCCGGCCTTAATTTCACATAAACTAATAAGGTCCCGCCATGCAGCAGAATATGTCTTACGGATTTGAGCCACCCTGCGGAAAAAGGGCATGGGGTGCTTCTCAGGATCAGGGAGTGAAGTTACAAGGGTAGCGGCTTGGGAAGGGTTAAAAGTAACGTACATAGGTGGTGCACCATCCGCCCCATGGTTGATCTAAGTATACCCCTGGGGAAGTGAGTGCCGTTGGGGAAGCCTTTCCCCCCCCAGTGGGGGTTGGCTCTGGTCCACCATAACGACCTCCTCGGGCACTATTGTACCACGGTGAAGAATAGCCTCAGGGGTAGCTGTAGCGGGGGCAACTGGGAAGGGGGTGATAGGAGAGGTAATTGGGTGGAAACCCGAAGCTTGGGGGGAGGCACCCATCGCATAGGGCTGGTCCGAGGTCGCAGACACCTCGGACCCAACCACCATGATTGGGTAGCTGGTGCTGGCGGAAGGGGCACGGGGAACTAAAGCCGTGGAAGGAGCCACCATGGGGGACGGCGGGGCTGGCCGTGAGAGGTGGGTATTCAGGACATGGGCAAGGGCAGAGATTGGATCGGAAGACTCGAGGAAATTAACGTGAGACAAGGGAGGAGTTAAAGGCTCGGGAGGAGGAGGAGGAGGTACATCGATGGGAGGCGACGCGGGGATTGCGGAATTAACCAGGGAAGTGACCGCAGTGAAAAGGGCGGAGATTGAAGTTGATAGGTCATTGGACGGAGGTGCGTCAAGGGTCGCCGAGGAAGGGGTTGGAGGGATAGGAACAAGGGGCTGTGGCAAAGCAACGTAGGCGGAGGGTGTGGTCGGCAAATCGGCCGCGGAAGGGAGGGATAACGAGGTAGAGGAGGCCGGGACTTCGGGAGGAGGAGGTAACACTGAAGGAGAGGTGGTAACAGGGGGCTGGGTTAGGGCGGTGAGGGCAGAGATTAGGGACGGCAAATCGGCCGCGGGAGGGAGGGATAACGAGGTAGAGGGGGCCGGGACTTCGGGAGGAGGAGGTAACACTGGAAGAGAGGTGGTAACAGGGGGCTGGGTTAGGGCGGTGAGGGCAGAGATTAGGGACGGCAAATCGGCCGCGGGAGGGAGGGATAACGAGGTAGAGGGGGCCGGGACCTCGGGAGGAGGAGGTAACACTGGAGGAGAGGTGGTAACAGGGGGCTGGGTTAGGGCGGTGAGGGCAGAGATTAGGGACGGCAAATCGGCCGCGGGAGGGAGGGATAACGAGGTAGAGGGGGCCGGGACTTCGGAAGGAGGAGGTAAGACTGGAGGAGAGGTGGTAACAGGGGGCTGGGTTAGGGCGGTGAGGGCAGAGATTAGGGACGGCAAATCGGCCGC